GGGATAAAAGTAAGGTTGTATCATCAGCAAACATAACTGGGGAAAGAAAAGTTGTAAAATGTGCTTGTTCTCCTGTTCTCCCTTTGTGTTTGGACTTGAACTTACATTTGTAAAWAAATAAATAAATTAAACATCACAYACAGCGATGACYTGTGGGTAACACACTTCACTGAAGTCCACATTGAAGCAGACCTCAGTGAAGTGTGGATGAAGGGCCCAAAGKGGGCGGGGCCAAAGACCACCTCAGTCAACCAGGACTAACCGGGACACCCTAGCACTCGAACCCTTCAGTGAGAATGCACATTTGAAGTACACAACTGGAAGTGTGAGTACTGGGTAGGGCTGGGTATTATGGCCCAAAAAAAAAAAAAAATTCTCAGATTTTTTTCATCCCAAATTCGATTTTCAATTTTGATCGATTTTGTTTGTTTCCCACTTAACGGAGTGCCTCTGTTTCAGATGTTGAAACAAATTTGTTGTACTCCTGCTTTTTGTAGAAAGAGCATTCAAACAGATTTAGCAGTGAGGTGTTTGTTACTTCAAGTCTGAGGTTGTGAAACCTAACCAGTTCCAGAAAACTGARGAAACAGGGACTTCTTTGGTAGATCCTCTTTGCTAGCTGCCATATTGTCATGTCATGTACCAAGCATGATGAGGGACAGGTGGGCTGACCTCTGAAGTACAGAAGTCCGAAAGAGAGCACTGATGGGAAATAATCAGATTTTCCCAAAATAAAATGTTCATAAATGGCAAATTTGAATTAATCCATTAAATCGATTTATCTCCCAACYCTAGTATTGGGACAGGGCCCAGGTTTGCACGTGCACAAATGCACAAATCTGCTCACCTGTGAATTTGACTTTGAGACTTGAACCTGTGTGAGAGTTTCACAGCATGCAGTCATTTTATTTCTCTTATAGCTGTTTCTGCACCTCTCTTATCAAACTCCACACTTGGGGAATATCTTTATAATCTGACACACAGAGTCACCTGCGTAAGTCTTTGGCATAACAAACCCCAACCCCAAGACCAGTTCCTGAGGGGAAGCACTGGACTGTAGTGTCAGAGTGTGTGTTTGAAAAAGAACTGAAACTACAGGTAAGAATAAAAGTGTGTGAAAATCAACCTGGACCAGACTGATAAACCRTTTGTTTGGTGTGTGGCTCTTTCAYGTTTCCTCCTTCAGATCCAAACTTCGTGCGGACCTTTCTGACCACGTACAGGTCGTTCTGTAAACCTCAGGAGCTGCTGAGCCTGCTCATAGAGAGGTGAGCTCACCTGTTGGTCACATCAGTCAAACACAACAGCTCATCTTGCATGTTTGTAACTCAGGAAGTGAACATGAGCTGCAGAGGAACCATGTAAGTCGTGTTCTGGTCTCAGGTGTGTTTCTGTTCCAGRTTTGAAATCCCGGAGCCAAAGCAGAGCGATTCAGACCAGATGGAGGAAGAAGAGCAGCTGCTCAGTTCTGAACTCAAACGGTTTCGTAAAGAGTTTGTTCAGCCGGTCCAGCTCAGGTACACAGCTCCTGGTAGAGATTACTCAGCAGCCCACACCTGGACACACCTGGGTAGTTCAGTAAAAGGCAACTGGACTGGTCTTGTTTCCTCTCATTCAGCAGGCTTCAGGTCTGAGTGTGGGTTGTGAGTTCCACACCTATGAATTCTTCTAACAGTCATAATAATTGAGTCCTGGGCAACGTTCACACTGCAGGTCTTAATGCTCAGTTCAGATTTTTTGAAAAACTCAGATCTTTTTGTG